ACAGCGCGTATGCACGTTTTATATCCCCGACGGCGGTTCAGCTCGTACACGCGATTTTAAAATGCACGACACTCGTCGCATGCGATGATATTAAATATTTACGGCAACAATTAGTTAGTACAATTTATCTTTATCTCAGCACTGTAATATCAGCGCCGCGATACAAATTCGCAATTAGACCCGGCGTCGCTAATGACACGACACGTTCTTTCGGCCTTTTCATTTTCCGGTCCTCGCGAAATTCTACCTCTCGCAAATGAACACTTCAATAGAGAGAGAGAGAGAGTAAGAGACAATTTGTGACTATGGGGGCCTCATTTTGCGGACACGATCTGTGTATACGAGCTTGGTTGGAGCGTGCGCGCGCGCGCGCGCGTAAATTCATGGAAAAACGATTAGGATTGTTGGCGTGAGTTTTATCGCGCCACAGGATTTACTGCCGCTGATAGGAAAGATAGAGACAGCTACATCGGAAAATCGGCACGACCCTTCGATTTTCTCCAAGTGGATGCCCCCGAGAAACTTCGGCGGGACGACGGAATCCACCAACAACCGCGTACCAGCGAGGGAAAACAGGGAGAATTTTATACGCGGAGTTTCTCGTGAGGTTTTACAGGATTAAGTTTCAAGATTTCATCACAAACAGCTGTTGAATATTTATCGGCAATTTTAATATTAAACATCCATTTAATTTTGCCGTATTGTTACGTTATACTCGCAAAATCTTTGCGGACATGCTCGTTTCTGGGATTCGTTGCGAAATGCTCACTAAATATCGTCTGTTAGCAATTTGTAGCGAACGAAAGGCTCTCGAGTGCACAAAGAGACCAGACAGAATGAAGAATGCGAAAACCAAGGATGGATAGGGGAAAAATTGAAGAAAGACGGAAATTGTACAAGATTTTGTTCAACTATTTAGAAACGAAGGATCATATGTGTTCGCTATGGCAGCTCGTATGCACGCTGGCGGTTGTGTAATATCAGCATAAGGGATTTTGAAGTCACGTCATTACGATGCGTGCTGGTTACATGCAGGAACGCATTAGCATGCGTGTATATCGACGAATCGCGCATGCAGGCGATACATACTAATCTACAGTTTCTCATTAGTCGGAAAGCCGTCTTAGCAACATAATCATTCGATCTGATTCAGTCCCCCTTAACGCGGCCGTTTAGACGATAAGCAGTAATTCCTGCGCTTTCGAACGCGTTAATACCAGAACAGATTCTCTCGTAGAGATGCGCGAAGCGAGGATTTTTGATGTCGAATCGAGTTTCATTTCCCTTTTCAAATTCGAATCAAAGCAAATCGTTGAAATATACAATACGATTCATATTCGAAACATCCGAAATTTTGTAATAGCTAGATTCCAATCGTAGAAATTCGAATCGATTGGCATCTCACCCGATTCGTATTCGAATAGTTTGCATATCTCTATATGAGTTTTTAGTAATAAAACGAAAAAATTGGAATATAAGCACATTAAGAGTAAAATATTGCTCTCTCTCTCGTTTTGCTCACTTTCTTAATAGTTGAAAGACGTGAGCGTTTGAAGATGGAAGAGTATTGAAATTTCCCTTTTAAAGAACAATTCAATTTAATGTAATTCACGGGAGGGGGGAGAGAAGGCAGAGGAAGATTAAGCAATAAGGTCTTGCCGAGATTCGGAAACCGAAAAATAGCATTTCTGTCGGCCGTTAAAAGATGCGCGTGCCCTGATCGATACGTTACTTTCATGGGATATCCAATCTCGTACGTGCAAATCGTATCAAGCATGTTGGACTTCTCTAAAGAAAGCGATCCTTCTAAACTGCAACGGTGCCGGCAACAGAAACTCGATCTTCCGTACATGCATCAAGTACATGCGCCGAGTACATACTCGTATAGTTTCATAGGGGAGATGCGCTCACGTGACCATCGAGGAATATGATACCACGTATACAGAATACTCTGGAGAAAATACTCGACAGTATAATACTTGAAGGAATTATTCAATTTTGAGCCGATGACAAGCGAGGATTCTTTTTACCGGGATTCAATTACGAAACCGATTGATTTTATGAAATTACAGCACCTCGACTGTTGTACGGCCGATATTAAATTCAAGTAAACAAATGTTTTTTTAATTATTCTCTCTTCTTGATACCACAAATCTGTTTTATTATTTAATTTCGTAACTATATCCTTTATTAATAATTACAAGCATCAATTTTCAAATGAGCTTTGCGGGAATTTGCAGGGATTTTACTCAATAAAAAAATGTTTAATTAAAAAATATTATTTCCCTTATGCATATAATCCACATTGTACTTTTTATTATTTTAAAATAGATAAATTAAAAATTTTCTTGTTATGTTTCCAGAACTGAAATATTAGAAACTTTGTGCTTACAATGTTTTTCTGGAGAATCATACAATTAATCGCAGCAGGGCGTACCGCTCAAGTTTAATTGTAAAATTCTACTGTGAACATGGTCAATAAATTGAGATGCGTGCATATATACGTAACGCACATCGCAATCCATACAACATAGACAATATGCAAGTGTTCGTGATCAAGTGCCAGGCCGTAGTCACAGTATACGAAGCATTTTCGGAGAATCCAATTTTCCAAGATTCTCAGCACCTTAACCCGGTATTATCTCTTAAGCGCGCTTGCTCCATAATCGCCTTGGCTAGGCCAGGACACGAGCGCTTAGTAAACACACCTATTTCGCAGCCGTAAATCGGCGACGTAAACGGCGACGAGACATGCTAGATCCCAGCGAAACATCGAGGATATTCTTTCCATGTAATCACATATCTGCGGTTTTCACGCGGGAGGTAATATCAGCGGTCGCGCTCGAAAATATATTACGTAAAATTGAGGCAATCGATTTTACGAATCATTATTGAAAATAATACGCTCAAACGGATCGGGATGATGATGCGTAGCATTATGCGAGTGGCTCGATGAAAATTGATAAGAGAGAGAGCTCGCGGCTGTGGGTGTATATATAATATATTTCAATAAATATACATAAATAACATTAATCACGTCGCACGCTCGTGTAATGAGAAATATTACGTAAATGTAGGCGAGGCGCGTCGTATTTATTAAAATTTGCATTAAAATATTATAGCACGGTGAGGTCGCGCGCAATTTTAATCATCTCCCGATACGTTGTACAAAAACACGAGAGGTTTCGCGTAAAAACTGAGACATTCGTGCACGCAGATAAGAACCTGGTCGGAGGCTCCCGATTTACGCTAAAACCGCCAGCCGTAATCAGGGGGTTGGTTGCTAAGTTATTACATTGTTTGCTCAAAAGCTCCAATATCTACCCTTCGCTCTTATCTTCTCTGCTCGTCTTTCACTTTAGGCAAATTCGCTTAACGATATAAAGCGAAATATTAATCTCTCCTTAAATCTTTGATACAAGTCATATTTTACATGGCATTTCCATAACGTTATTTTACACTTTTAATATTACCTTTAAACATCTGTTATTAATTACTCGATATCCATCCTAATTCATGATAAATGATGAAAAGGAATAAATCAAATATTAAATACATTATACATTTGCAATGTGAGATATTTATATATTAAATCTATTATATATTTGTATATCCGATGAATGTGGATTTAGTGCAAATTATATTCTGTCCTGTACTCTTATTGTTGTCTTAAAAAATGTTATTTTAATAAAACATCTCCGTCGGACCACACGCGGCACATGAAGAATACATTATCCCGACAGTCGTGAACTTAATCGAAACTTCAATACTGAATCCATGAATAATAGTGTCATCTAACTTCATCTATAATCTACAATGAAGTTTAAAGCTATTCCCAAACCCGTTTGCAATTCCAAATTGTAGAATATGCGCCATCGGGCTGTCGAAGCGAACGATCGAACTGTAATTGTTTGGAGATGCAACGACCTGCCGTCTCTCCACAAACGATGACCGTACATGGGAATTTGTGATTTTGGTTCAACGACCATTCGTCGAACGTAATCTTTATTGTTCCGAATGTTGTCAATGCGAGTCTCCAGCGAATCCCTCACCGAATATTACAAGCCATTCTATGCGAGCTTAATTATATGTGAATATCTCGTTGCATTGACGACACACACACATGTATGCATGTACATATATATATATACATGTATAAACTTTATTATAACAAAACAATGTTCTCGTTTCTGACCTTTCGATGGAAATTTCCGCTGCAGCATCCTCGCAATCCGAGGATATATCGATTAATACTGAATCGGAACATTTTAATTTCATGTGGACGTAAAATTTTTGATCGCAGGAGACGCGTGTCGTACGACTTTGTGCCCGGAACAATTTTCTTTTACTTTCGACTTTAATGACAATGCGCGCAGGCGATGCTAACGTTTCTCACTTTGAGGAAGGGTACTCTAGTTTCTTCTCACTCTCCCTCTCTCACTACCTCTCATTGCGAGTAAGCTTTTTTGTCGGTTTCCATGCCAGTGCGAAACCGTGACAAACGCGGACGACGAGAATAGCCGCCGAAAAGAGCACTCTCTTTTTTTGTGTTTGCTCTCGGTCTGGTTAGCCTTCTCTAAGATTAATTCTCTTATTCTACAGAATTTCACACATTTTTTCCTCCTAAGCAGAACATTTCCTAAGTAGCGATTAAATGGATATTTTAAACAGATTGTACGATCCATCTGCTTAGTTTTAGCAAAGCACATCTTCTCAATACTTGACACGCGCTGATGCAAACTACATAGATAATCCCTACCGAGGTAAAATTCATGTGAAATTAAACGAAAGAAAACGTTGCTATCCAATCATAACCTTTGATTTGAAAAGATCTTTTATTCCTCATACATGAAACCTCCGGGAAGTCTTGGCTGGATAACGCGCGCGTGCAAATCGCTGAGGCGATTAATGGACGATGTGAAAAATATCGTGAGCTTTTAAGAGCGCATAATCTTCGGGGCTGAGCTATTACGCGTGCGATCTCCGGTAGCAAAGCCGAAGTATAATCTTTCTTCGAGCGAGCGTGATATCGTAAACGCGCGGCGTATAAAGCATATCGCCCGGCTGGGTTACATAATGCGCGAACGTAAATAGAGGCATAATTCAAAATTGCATAAGACGGCAAGTTACGATCCTATAACTCCTGTAGTGAAGTGATTGCATCCCGCCGATACGCGTTCGTCCTGATAAATATCTAAAAGTTGTACCGTAAGTTCGTCACTGACGTCGTCTCTCCTTTATGCAGCTTCTATCGCGATCCGCGCGCGCTCCGCATCGATTTTTCGCGCGCGACTTTCGGTCCTTTCGGAGATCGCGCCATGCCGCGTCGCCGTGCCGTGGCGTGACTAAAAATGTACCGAATTAATATCACCCGTCAATCTCCATAATCCCGGGACACGCCGCGGTACATCGGAAATCGCGCGTCCTCTTTCAAAAGCTTCCGGAGCACTGACAATATTCACGGCTGCACAAATTCACAATGGCAGCGTCATTTTTGTAATTCGACGACAGCGCGCGACGTATACCTCTGTGAAAGCTTTCGCGACAATAGCAAAATTTATACGTGTCACAATTTGCAACGTCGCCGTACGTTTTGGCAATCAATCCTGTGCTCTATAATTTACTCAGTTGTCACGCGCAATATCTTTTCCCGTGAATAACTAGTCGGCGTGTAAAAATACGTTAACGCGAATGAAAAGCGCCCAGAATAAAGTTCAACATTTTCTACCTTTGACCTTGTTTTTTTGACTTTACCGGAATTCGCCAAATCATTTATTAGCATTTTTATTGCGACGAGACGGCCTTTTAAATGGCCGATCGTCAAATCGATCTTAAATATTCCTCGCTACGTACGTCCTACGTGTCGTGTGAATAAGGTACCCTATATTCCTATTTCCCTGGGTTTTCCACTTTATCGCGAAACAGACAATGCCAGATGGGACCACTTGAATCGAACATGACGAAAGATTTGCCGATACGCTCCTTTTCGTTTACACTACGAAAGGATGCACTCTCGGCGGATACTGCAAGAAATAACATAGCCTTCGGAAGACTCGAGGAGACGCATCGTGTCAACAGTACGATCGCGGGTCACCGGCGTGTTGTTCGTTTCGGAGCGAAAACGTGTAACGAGTTAACGTCTATTCCCCGTGGTACACCTGGAAAATAAACTAGGCCGCGCGCTATCCACCTGCTTGTCAAAACTTTCGTCGGTGAGTTTTGCCGGATGGTGTACGTACGCCGTGCACAACCTGTCGAAGCGGGCACGGCCGCGAGTATGCACGAATAATCACGGAGGTGTGGTAGATAACAGCGAAAGGGCGCGTCGTTCGTGAAACGTGCGCGCCAATTAAGCTCGGAGTCTTCGCTAGAAATTATGTAGACTGTCCCACAAAGTCCTTATAGTAGTAAAACTTTATTCTCTAACGAACCCAACGAGGCAATTTTCTCTTAGGGAAAATTTGATCGGATGTCGTATTTTTTTTTTTAATACAGCTTTTCAATGTTCAAATTTAAATATTTTCGTAAGAAGAACTTGGTAATCCGCTCTAATTAAGGCTGTGTTAAAATTCATTTGAGATTAAACGAAGAGCAATATTTTGCTTTTCATAATTCGCAGCCCTGAAGCAGCCCTTAATTCGCGAAATTTCGTACATTTTTAAATCGCTTACGTCACGGAGATTAAACTTTAACTTAATTAACGGATTTGCAAATAAAAGGAGGAGGAAACGATGCGGGAAACGCACAACATTTTGCATGTTATAACGCAAATGAATTGGGGAAAATTGGGTTGTTATCTGCGATAGTTTTGACGGAGCAATCGTGCCGTTGTTACGCTGCGGTGCTGATGCTCAAAATACTCGATGGTGAAATTAACCACGCTGACCATGTTAAACAAAACTGGCCATACACAAAGCAACCTCGCGCAACAAACGGAACATCATTTAACGATAAAGACGAAATTATTGTGGGCTCGTGTCCCGGCATCAAAATTATGCTCGCGGTCGGCCATCGATGTTTCGATCAAAGGATATATTTCATAAACGAGCATAACGTCCGCGTGTATTTAAAGAAGAACGACGGCTGAGAATACTCGACGCGCGACGACGAACGTGGCGTAAATGTAGCGTGCGACACTGCCGCGGAATAATTTGCGGAGAATACGCTGTCGTCGACGTGAATAAACAACCGGGGATGACTGCAAAATATCACAGTGACGGCTGCTGGAAACTCGATGACTCGTCTCGGCTTTCATTCTTTCGCGCGCACGCGAATAAATCAGGCGCAGTAAACAGCCAAGATTCAATTAAAAGATAAAGCATATGAGCTGCCGTTAGATACATAACGCGCCTCGCTCGCGTTTCAATCGATACAGATACTGCAAAGTTGCAGCATCACGCGCGTTAAATTCTTATCGCGTGCGCGAAATTGTCGAGAGAGTCGAAAAAAAAAAGCCAACGATAATTATCGAGCGTCGCGCACGCGATTCCGATCCGACGCGACTATGACAGATCGCATTTTCTCCTAAATTATAAATTACTGCTGCTTATATCACCTTGGGCTGTAAGATAAGACGAAACAAATACGTATGCGACTCGAAAATTACAGTGATAAGTCTACACGGCAGCTTCGTTAAGATCAAAGTGTTTTTACACTTATCTACAACTTTCCTCCGTCCTTTCTTGAGCTTTATCGAAAGAAAACACCGCTCGGGCACCCGCGAGCGCATAGAATGGTAAAGAGAAAAATGATCACGTTTCACCAACTGGCCCAGTAGTAATTGTGTTCTTTTGGAATTATTTTCTGGTCGACGAACCGCGATAGCCTTCCCGGAGATTATCTATCCCTGGACGCCGACTTTATGCATTTTCATGAAAACGTCGCGTCGTATGCATTGTAACGTATCTCTTTGTAACATCGCGTCGTTTATTTTAACGTCTGGTTTGTCTTAATGATATATTGCTTCTTGTATACTACCGTATTGTTCGCTTTTGTTTTCATTTCGCGGAAATCATTATCTTCCGCATTAACGGATAAGCTTTTCAATATATTGATTAATACAATTTATCTAATTACATAGCGAGTGAATAATCATTGCGATAAAAATATTAATTCGGTATGCAATCTACTTTACTGTAATTACGCGTGTCACTAATAAACGGTTTCTATTGTACGCAAAGGAAATGTATGTCAACAATTGAACAGTATTTATATGAGAGAGTAGAAATGGCGGTGAATAATTAATAAGGACGCAATGAATTTAAGAATGAAAGTGTCACAAAACGTTCATGTAAATAACGAAACTCTCGTCATTGCACTATGTGATAATTACTGATTGTTAATTGATACATGACTACGACAGAATCTTGTTGTTTGAGATTTGAAATCGGAAAGATTACATATCAAAATGTAATTAATATTGCATTGCAACGAGTAACAAGATGGTATCACATTGACTTGAAAATTATGACGTAAGTATTTTGTAAAATGTGCACGGCTCAAATGTGATAATCACAAATTTGAAGGAATAAAGGAGTAAGAGCCGTGACAGGGTGTTAATGTCTAAATATTTCATATTTAAATTTATTGCGTAAAATATCACCTCAGTCAGGGTAAGTGTTTCGATTCAAATGTTTAGCCAAAAAAAAAATGATGCTGCAATTTTGGTTTTCAGCCGTACATTTTATAACGTAACATATACATCTCGGTTAATTATATGTACAAGATAATTTTCATACTAATGTGATGCTTGTAATGATTGATGATACTAATTTTGTGGTACCTGTAATTATTGATGATATATGATAATACATAGTTGTCCATTATTACAACATTACCTATTTTGTTGACCTAATATGTCATCTGTGATACACGAATATGCCTAATGACCGCTAGATTATCTTTTCAGTAAATATGAACATTAGAGGTATCTACAAACATATTTAACACACCTCCGTGCTATACCATTCTTTATTACTATTGTTGGATCACAATTTGTGATATTATTTTCGTATTTCGTTGTTTTCGTGCAGTTATCTACCAAAATCGCATTTGCATTATCGTAACGCAAAAACGAGAAAATATTTCAAGACAAAAGCACTTTTAATAATGAAAAGCATCGAACGAAATGGAATATTGCATTAATACATTATTGAGTAGCTAATTGCGCCACGTCGATGCGCCGGATCAAAAATGACTGTATTTATTTCACGATGTAAAAATATTCCTCTCGTCTTTTGTATCGTTGGGAAAAAGATGTTTTTCGTTGTCAAACGTGACTCTTGCGACACAAAGAAGCAAAATTGAAATTAATTAATTTTACTCGCGTATCAAGAAAAGACGTACGCTGTCGCATTTGTAAATTTGTATCGCTTGCAGGTGTGTGTCCCGTTGCATACATTTGGCAGCGTGATTGCCCTGCGGGCCCTGACACTGACGACACCCAGTGCCAATAACGTGCTTTTAAGCGGGTTAAGGCAATTTGCATCGGAGTGACCATGCGCACCTGAAATAGGTCGCTCTGCCATCCGTCCGCGGAACCTGATGATTTTTTACGGGAACAACTTCGTCGGCCGCGAGCGGTCGGCGTTTGCATACAAACCATGGGCGGAGGCTAGAAATATCCCAGAACCGAGTTCGACTTGAAACTTCATGAATATGTGAAAGTACTTGCACGCCGGTGCTATACGTAGGCCCATGAAAGTTTTAATCAGACGCGTGACACTTGATATTGGGCCGCGCATTGCCGAAAGACCCTGTGGTAGTTGGCTGTTTAATGTTTAATGTTTAATCTACTTAGACACTAGTGACGAAGCGACACACGATCAACTTTGTCCCGTCAATCGAATAAAACTGTAACTGCGAACCTATCCATATCGATTGGATCTAACTGAATTATTAAACGTAGGCACAGCTTGCAGTCAAAGTCCGACGGATTGAGCGGTTGGGACGCCCATTGTCCTTCTTCGTGATTAATACGTCAGAATATGCTAGTTATACGAAAGCCAGGGTTACATTTATGTAATAAGGAAAAGCGATCGATTTCAGCTGAGTCCAAGTTCGACCTAGTTTCAAGTTAATTGCCAACAAGACATAAACAAATATTTCTAATACCCATTAATGTAATTAGCTATAAGAATAAGATAAAACTTTCTGTAGATATTATCCCAATGTTGCGATACACGTTGAGTCTTATTAAGGGTCTACAGAGTTGTTAATTTCTCCGAGAAGAATGTACATCAAAGTTAGGTAAAATGAAAAAATTGACTTGATCACGATTTCTTATTTAATCGTGTCAATTGTGAGGTAGTAACTCGCAAGGACGGCAGGAAGAAAAGGGAATTCTAAGGCTGTCGCTGAGCGCACCGCGATCTCTCTCCCGTCTCTTACTGACAAATCGGGGAGATAGGTTACCCACCGAGGGAAATGGAAGGGAAAGCTTTTGGAAGAATTACGAGAGGCGAACGATGTCGCGGACAGAGACACGCCGTGTCGATATCTCTTGTACCCGAGATAAGAATGTCCTCCGTCGAGCGCGCATGGGGCACGAATGAAAATGGATCGGTCGCGGAGAATCCACGTGTACGGAGACGAATCTGCCTAACGAGATGCACTCGCCAACATTTTCGAAAACATTTGAATGTCTGAGACGGATTTATTGCACGCTTACGCGTCTCAGATTACGTCGCGTGCTTCTGGCTTGAATTAAAATAGGGAACGACGCAATATCACTTTGAAGAGATCTTATAATTTACTGGGACCCGTCGAGCGCTTCTGCCTTCATCCAGCGGCTTGATTTTTCTTAACAAGTATGAGAAAGAGAGAAAAAGAGGGAGAGCGAGGGAGACACTTTTCATTGCGGATTTTTTATCTCGGAATGAAGTTGCTCGACTGAAAAAAAAGGGGATAAAAATATTAAATCCAGTGCGGGATAATCGGGATGTGTCGCAAGATACTCGCAAGCGGATTCGTACTTTGAAGATGACACTTCTTGCAAAAGCGTTTTTCGCAACCGCGTGAGGCGCGAGGCGTTATCCTCGACGAGGGTGGAATGAAATTTTGCCGGTTCGAAAAGCGCGAGCGGAGCAACGTTCCCGGTGACAGAAGTTTTCAGGCTTGGCGGAGGAACAAGTGAAAATATCTGAGATGCCCGCAAGTTCCGCGGCAAGTTATGGCAGCTTTTTTCTGTGGTGGACGTCAACGCGGAGAGGTGGTTTGTTACTATCTCTGGCGCTCCCGGACGAATTTCTGCCGGGAGAAGGAACAGGTGGAGGACGAAGAATAATGCTCTCTTCGTGGGTAGCTGCACCTCCTTGTGCCGCCAATTCGCCAAGATTGAATTGTCTGCCCGACGGAGTGACTTGTCGTTACGCGGCTTACACCGGCGACGAGCTTGCGACTTCCATCTGCGCGATGAAAAATCTTGGCGGCGCTGCACGTTCAGCAAAGCGCTCGTAACGAAAGAGACATGCCAGGACTTAGCTTCGTAACCCCGAATGCAATTTTTTAGTAATAAGTTCGAAAACGTCGCTAATCCGACAAAATGAGCCTACTAGTACAACGAATCGTGGTTTCTTATTTAAATGAATTTATCTGCTTTCTTCTCTCACGTGTGTCTTCTCTTTATGTAATTATGTATCAATAAAAACTGTAAAGTCTAAAAGAAGCTCTGATTCATTATTCCCAAAGCTTGGCGAAAATGCGATGCCATTTTATATTCCATCCCAACTCTATTAAGACTGATTTATAAACAATTATGTATTGAAAAGCGCAGGGGAGCGCGTATTTACTTCTCTCCGGAATATCCAGTGTCAACAGACATAATAGTCGGGCGAAAACTAATTAGCGAAAACTATTCTCTCAGAGAGGACGTGCAGGAAAAGATGGGGAAAAAAGAAGAAACAAAGAAAAGCCATTGATCGCGAGGGAACAGTACACAGAGAGGATATTGGAGCGTGTAACCATCAGTAGAGGGTACGAGGAACGCTCGAGACATTCGGGCGCCAGTAGCGAAGCAATTTTTTGATAGGATCAGTCGACCCGCGTCGGGTTCGCCCACTGTTTCTTCGTTTTACTCGCGCCCCGTAGGAGATATGAAACATCGAAAATGGACTGCGGTCTCTCTTTTCAACGGGAAGACTATCGGGAATTTTCTCGCGATGCAGCCAACGAGACAGACATACGAAGCATACAGGACCTTTGCACTTCCTTCATTTACGGGTTCTTTGAACAATTTCAAATCCAGTTCTCTCTAAAGAAAATTTCATTTTACCTCCTCTTTCCCCACAATTCTTTAACATTCAACCTTAACTTTTGCAACATTCAATTTCAGCCTTTAACTAACGTTAAAGCTTCATTAAAAATCGAAAAAAGAATTACATTCTTACGATAGTCGGTAGCTTAACTGTTAATGATTAATTCGAGGAACTTAAATTCCTATTAGAATTAAGTTTTTTAACTTAATGATATTTCGACTATTGTTCAAATCACATCTCTAAATTGACCCAACGATCCGTACATGAGAATATCTGTGAGTAATCGGAAACGCATTTTATATCTCTGGATCGTGCAATGTCTTCTTTTTAAGGGAATATGACGCTTCATCATACCTACGAGCATCAGCCCGTATCAAAGTGTAAATGGCTTTTATTATCGCATAGCAGATTCGAGTCGACGACCATACGACGCTTCTTTTGTTGAAATGCGGAAATACGAGCGGTGGATGAACCGAGGACACGCGAGACGGCCTCCCACTCTCACGCTAACAGTAAATCCTTCGCTCATCCTTTAAGAGATTGCAGACGGATAATAAGCGTTCTCAAAAAATAATTCCCAAAATTATATCACTCGTGAAATGAGTTGATGCATCATGGATTTTGACACATGGAATTGTGCAATAACTTTCAATGATATTTTTGACAATTGTCACTTTTAATAATCTATCGAATATTATGAAATGTGAATTTCTTAGCATTCCAGCACTTTGAATGGTTCTAAAAATAATTGTTTGCGATTAAGATGTGCAATAGACATTTATATCTCTTTTGATCTTGTTGATGCCATCAATCGCACTATTAACAAGGGCATTACTGCGTTTCAGATTGAGAAAAGAAAGAAAAAGAGCTGCCAAGCGATTTCTCAAAAATGAGATTTTGAATCTTTTTTTAGTCAGAAAGGTTTTAATGTCAGCTTCCCTCCGGGCTCGATAAAAACCTCGACAAAATAAAATACAGGGGACTCGTGTCGCCGGAGCGACGCGTAAAAAGCGATGGCCGGTATTACAGAGGCATTAGAGCCAATCCAGATCTCTGCGATGGACCAGCGACAAAATACGTCGGATATTTTCGACGTGAAAAGCGCCCAGGTCAAAGTATCGCGAATACCAGACGAAGCTTACGCTTTCGCTCTCGCGCTGAATTACATTCCGATCGCTTCACTTGCCGGTGCAGCAACGCTGCATTCGGTGCATCCGCTTATTGTATAGGGTGTCAAAAGTATTCGATGCTTGAGGCAGTTTGCATCTCCACGAGACAACAGTGTCGATCATTTTTGGAAACAATCATTCTCTCTGCAACGGTGTGACACCTTTGGCAAATATATGTAAATATTCATCGTGTATTCGTTCCTTTCTTAGCTTCTCTATCATTCTCTGTGTCGTTAAAAGTTGGAATGAGAAGAAAACAATTGTTCGTCAACTTCTTTTTAAACAGAACGTGTAGTAATTAACGTACTGTGGAAATATTGCCGAATGTTACTTCAGAAATTCCTTGTTTCACTTTTATTCGCGCTATAGTATAAAGTTTCCGAGATTTTTATCGCGGTCCCTTGATTTTCCGGTTTTCCAGACTTGTAGCAATCTTAGATGCTATCTCTGTACCCTGCTTGGTAAATATACTGTGCTTTACCGGAATCGTTTCTGTATTGCCGTTTCTCTGGTTCTTTCGAAATGTTTTACTCGGAAAAAAATTGGCGACTTGGGTCAAAGTGCCTTACATTCATCGGCACTTAATGCGCTCTCGTGCATATTGAAAACCGAGGGAAAACTCGGCGTGGCCTAATATCGGTCGCGTGCGAGGTAATAGCGGTGAGTATAGTATTGTGGAACAGAAACTCCTTCGACGAACGGGAGGCCAAACCGTATCGACTTGCACGCAAGGGAAGATTCTTGTTTCGCGAGTTCACCGAACCGATCTTGATGCGAGCTTTTGCAGTTTTCCAAAGAATAAGAGCCGTCCGCATCGTAAGCTAATTAAATGCACAAAGGGAATTGAAATGCGGTGCTGCATATAAATGAAAGCGCGTTCTTCAAATGAGTCGAAAAACAAAGATAGCAAGGATCGCAAACGAATATTTAGACAAATGTGTCTTTGTGTCGAGCAGAGATAGAATATGTCAATTTAGACTCGTCGATAACCATGGCGCAATAATTAATCGTTGCGAGAAGCGGGATGTGTCGTAGGCACGTCACGGCCGTGTATATCCGTATTATTGATATTACGGCGAGGATATCGGAGTCTACGAAGGCGGAACGAGTTAATCCGGTGCGCGCGAGAAAATCTGACATTAAAGTTTCATGAGTGGGATGCCGGTTCGGTTTCGCGTTCGCCCGGTCGGTTGCTCTTTTTCCATCGCGGCAGCGAACCGCGCAATATTAGCTACCATCCCGGCATAAATAGCCGAAATCGATGGTACGTTGCCTGGCGAACGGTGGAACCATTGGCGCGATTGCCGCGAGCAAGGACGATGCATCCGGAGCCGCCGCCGCCGCCGTCGTCACCAACGCGCCGGTGTAGCCGCAGCTGTTCCGATTCCTTGCGAATAAATTATTCACGTTTTCCGCCCCCAGGCTCACATGGTACGTACGGTCGCTGACGCGCACGGCCGCGGCCTTCCGGTCGAAATGCGGTTAAGCTCGTCTTTGCGCGGGCCCGGAAGCCGCGCGCTGGATGGCCTTCGTTATAATTGAATCGAATTCGAATCCCGCGCAAGCGAGCGGAAGCGCAATCGTCGCGATCAATGTTTGATCCCGGCGATTGCGCGGCGATGATTAATAATGGGCAATTAGCGCGGCAGTATCTAATTATTCATGGTTAACGTTCATTAGCGCTGGTCGACTAGCTTGATTCCGGAGTAAAGAGAAAACGGGACAAAGGGAGGCAAGCGCTTCGGCTTTTCACGCGACTGTATACGTCTTACTGTGATCCCGTCGCGTTAGTCACGTAAGATTTTGGATAATGAATGAGGCGCGGGGTATTTGAAGCTACGGTCTCGCGAATAAGAGATTGATGTAGCGCGGTGCATTATGGAATTGTTGTCGGTAGCATTAAGCACAAATCGATATATCAGCCGCTAAGAGAAAAGCTGACAAACTGAAAAATATACATGCTTGTGACATACGCCAGTTTTCGTAACACAAGCCTACAAAAATAAACGCAAGATGTATAACTTAATAACCTACTTTCAAAAATAATATCTTTTCCACGCTTCTCATATATTTTATATCGGTGGCAACCAGAAAGCTCTATATTATTTATTAAACTGCGGTTAAAAATGTAGATATACGTCACTTCTCGTGACACAACAAGCGTGTAAAATTGCGAATAAAATAAAAATCTGTTAATCATTTTTTTGTTTTCCCACCCGTGCCTCGTTTACCGCACCATCTATTTCATATCGGTGATGCCCAAAAAAGCACTGTAATATCTGATATTAACGAGATATGTAGAGGAACGTGGGCCCGTGGCGGTCGTATAACTGGCCATTCGCATTCTCGCGATAGGTTCATCGACCATTTCGCGGTGATGATCCCTCGTGCCAACATTGGCACGAAACCGTCGGCTTTGAAAAACGAGAGCGTCGTGATCCGGTATCGCCGAACCGCGTCGTGCCGCGCGCGCTCGCATCGTCCCTCTCTAAAGCAGTATAACGGAATAGGATTCGAATTACGTATATACGTCGTCAGCTTTATTTCCGCCGTAAACCTCCGTCGGATGTCTCAAGTTCGCGCGAAATGTGAATCGGACGAACGAGCGCGATGCGTTTTCGGCCGCGATTGGCGCGACGCGACGCGATGGAGAGCTGCCGCGGGGATGACTCTTTCCGCATGGAAAAACGATGGACCAGACCCGATCATTGAGAACTTATCTATTCTCTCCATCGATTCGCATTACACCTACGAGTCACGCTTTCGTCCCTACGTTTTACGCGTTTATCGGAGCATTTGCCGGCGTAACGTGCAGCTAAATGGTGAACATTAACCCAGCCGTGTGCGCTTTTAATCTTTCGATTTGCAACCAAATGTCCATGTATTTGCAAAACGTGCCTGAGTCGAAATTTTCGCCCTATATGTTGAGCCTTTAATTCTATTATATAGTAGAACCTAAGACAGTAAAAGTGGTAGAACTACAAGTACAAAATTTACTCCTACTTTAAAACTGATAGTGTCGGAAATTTCTACTTTTGGCAATTAGCATTAAAATAGGTTCTTTTAAAGTAGGAGCTAAAGTAAATTTTTAGAATTAAAAATTTAAGGGAGCAGTAAAAAAATACTATGTCATCAAAGTAGGTTATTGCTGATCTATGTATCGATCAGTTAAGTAGGTGTAAATTATCCTTAAAAATATCAAAATAGTACCAAAATTTCGACTCGGGTGTAGTCTCTGAACAAACGTAGACGGGAATGTTAATATTAAAAATAAGTAATTCTTTTTACTATCGAATTTAGAGTTGTCTGGTAAAGTTTCGTACTAATAAATCTGTTTAAACAACTATTTTGCATTTGCCTTATTTGAAT